TATACAGCAGTCAAAAACAATGAAATCTGGTCATTTGCAACAAGATGGAGGAATCTGGAAAACATTATGCTGAGTGAATTAAGCCAGTCCCAAAGGGACAAATATCATATGTTCTCCCTGATGGGAAACAACTAACTGAGCACCAGAGGGGAAACCTGTTGAAGTGAAATGGACACTGTGAGAAACAGTGACTTGATCAGCCCTCCTCCTGACTGTTGATGTTCAATGTAATACTTTATCCCTTTTAGTATTTTATTTTGTTCTAGTACTATTGGTTGAACTCAAATGTCTATTTCTTTAATAAATGTTACATGAAAGCCAAAGTCAGTTTTGCAAGGAAATAATACAACGTAGTCAAGTGTGTGTAACCTTTAAGAGAGGACAGTTCAAATACTTAAATATGCAACAGAAACAAATTGACAAAGGTAGGTGCTTCACACTCAGGCAGACTAGTTTTTACACTTATCTCCTGAGCCTCAGTGTCTTTATTTCTAAGAGGAAGTCAATACGCAATACCTATGTGCCAGGCCTGCCACGAGGAGCAGATGAAATAAGCTCCAATACGGTGTTAATCCTCCTGTCCTTCCTCCCCTAGAGCATTATCATTAGGGCGTGCAATCTAAACTACTCTTCTTAAAATCACAACTAAGCTTTGGCTAAAAAGTATATTATTTCACAGGTAAAACTTCTGCTGAGTCCCTGAAATGTCACCATCTGAATTGCTTGTGAGAGTCCTCTAATTCAGATACAACCACAGAGTTAACACTCTTCTGGGATCTTGCAGAAAACTGGCTTCTATTTCTGCCTCCAGATGCAGATTTCATCAAAGCTCTCGAGCGACTGGCCTCAAGATAAGAATGCAGGAAGGTAGGCCAAAAGTCGTTTCCAAGAAACAAAAAAGTTTTGAACCTGTTCAAGCCCTTGAACAAGTTTTGCTTCTGAAATCAGAGGTGGAAGCAGACATCTTAAATTGTTTATAGAGATTTGGAAACATAAAACTCGTGGTAAGCTAATTTTTGATTCCTGCAATTTGGCTTATATATGAGAATATATTTTAACCATTTTGATAAGAAAACACAATCAAGCTAAGAAGGAGAAATCAACTAGTAGGCTGAGTTTACATAAGCAGCAAGGGTCCAGCTGAGACAAAACTATGAGCAAAGCTAACATAGTAGCAGAAGTTGCAACTATTTCTAGTAAGGGGACCATCCAGTTACCCAAGAAATGAAAATCAAAGGCAAACAACTATCCACTGTTCTTAAAAGAAAAGTTTATTTGGCTTGGCAAAGACTGTCCTTTCTCAGACTCTCAGTGTATGAAAATCAAAGTTTGGTGAAGAGCCAGAATGGGAAAAAACTCGTCAGAAAGCCAGGAGTTTTCTGGGTAGAAACCCTTCTGAGGTTTACTGATACGTGGCCATCTCCAAGAAACCACTGTAATACTAATCTGAAGAAAGACAGGATAGCATGGAAATAGCATGGAAAACAGGCACATCATGCAGGCAAGAAGACTTTGAACCTGGGAACTGTGCAACACCAGAGCTGACCAGAAGCTTGTCGTGGCTGAAGGCTAGTTCTACAGACAAAGGAAGCTGATGCTGAAACTCCTTTGACTTGACTCAACAATCTCTGGACAAGCAGGTCATGAGAGAAAATGACTGTATTCCTATAGAAGAGAGCCACGCCACTAATAAGCTAGAATGGAGGCCAGCTGCTTAGAGTGGTGCACCCGCATCCATAGCTGTTGCCAAGTCCCCTGTCTTCCAGAAGTTGAATCAGAGTTCTTTATGTCAGTGCCCACTGAGGGTCTCCTGAAGTACACCCTCAGCCTTCAGTTGACTCCAAAAGCTTGGGGACAAGAAACAGGACTCGCCAGCAGGCATCTACACACAAGCCCAAATGGCAGCCTCACCCCCAGGTGACAGCTCAGGAATAAAGTAATGTGATCACATCAGGTAGACGCAGAGGCCACCCTGGCGCAGTAGCACCACAACCCCCAGGAGTCTCCTTAAAGGAAACACCAATTCACAGAGTTGCCTTACTGGAGGAACACCAGAGTTATGGCATCCCCCATAGGTACATCCCAGTTTACTTACAGTTCTTCCACTCCAGATGTGATTAAACAATGTGCTTAATCTCAGACACTCCACATTAACAGGTTGCCCAGGGAAGGGAGCTACAAAGTCAGCAGATCAGGTTCTGCAGTGTTCTATTAACAACAGTGTAGTGACATTTCCCAGAGCACACAGAATTCCTGATGGCCACAGAATTCCCCAGATTCTCTTTTTTTTTTAAAAAAAAAAGATTTATTTATTTATTTGTAAGGCAGAGTCACAGAGAGACAGAGGCAGAGAAAGAGATCTTCCATCCGCTGGTTTACTCTCTAAGTGACCCCAACGGCTGGAGCTGGGCTGATCCAAAGCCAGGAGGCAGGAGCTTCTTCTGGGTCTCTCCCATGGGATCTGGGGCCCAAGCACTTTTCCAGGCCATAACAGAGAGCTGGATCAGAAGTGGAGCAGCCGGGACTAGAATTGGCACCCATATGGAATGCCGGCACTGCAGGCGGTGGCTTTACCCGCTACACCACAGTGTTGGCCCCTAGATTCAAGCAGCCTTAATTCAAGTTCCAGTGGTGAGGCAAGAACATCCAGAACTAATCCTTGCCCAAACTGCTGCTGCTAAAAGAGAAACTTCAGGGACCACAGATACTCTTGTTATAAGCTGGAGTAAGGACATGGAAATACACTCTCCTAAACAAAGAATCAGTCATGTAAAGAAATTAAGTTAAACTGATAACCAGTCTCTGTCACTTCAGATTCTGCAATCTCCTTTCTGCAACTAGCTTCCTCACTTTCCTTACTGCTAACAATCTTTCCTACACACCTGTGTATTACTGAATATAAAAATAGAGAGAGGGCTGGAACTGTGGTGTAGAAGGCTAAGCCGCCACCTGCAGTGTTGGCATCCCATATAGGTGCCACTTAGTGTCCTGGACACTCCTCTTCCCATCCAGCTCTCTGCTATGGCCTGGGAAAGCAGTGGAAGATGGCCCAAGTCCTTCAGCCCCTGCACCCGCATGGGACACCTGGAAGAAGCTCTTGGCTCCTGGCTTCAGATCCAGCTAGCTCCAGCCATTTGCGGCCACTGGGGGAGTGAACCAGTGGATGGAAGACCTTTTCCTCTCTCCGTCTATAACTCTACCTCTCAAATAAATAAAATCTTTAAAAAAAAGAACACTAAAAATTTAAACTCAGTTATGAAAATCAAGTCAACTTCCCAATGCCTAAAATGGTAATGCCTAAGAAATTACCACCCAAATACTCTTGTTTTCTATGACTGTCTTATCATTTTTGTCTTCTGAAATGCAGCCAATCCTTGGCTCCTTAACCTCCATTTCTCAGACAAGTTTAGGGCATGTGGATTAATTTTAATCCTAATCTATGAAAAATACAATTCATAATAAATTCTTATAATACTCTCCCCAAAAAGTAACTTTGAATTATCCCTGTTAGCAGGAAAACACACACAAACAAAACTCTGTATCGCTTAATAAAATAAAGTCCTGCACATGCTTTGAATAGCTAGACAATCATTAAAACAGTATCAAATTTACCCAGAGTTCCTTAACCTCATTAGCACCACTGAATTAACAAAATTGCTTTGTGTACAGTGACATTTATGGGGGCAAATAATGAAAATCATAGGAAAAGCTGAAGGGGCCAACAATAAGAAAGTAAAACAGAGAGAATACTTTAAACATGGAGCACCAATTAACAACACTGAGGTTACGGAGAAGTGGCAGCATGAGGCTGTTTGGCTAATTTCTCACTTCCAAAACAGAACAGTATTATTGTCAGTGGAAAAGAGCAGTAACAGAAAATCTGAGTATCATGAAATTTCATTTAAATTATCCTTTCCCCAGTTCAGTTTCTTGACATTATTTATTTAGTTGTTTTGGACAAAAGGATATGGTCTCAATTTATTTAAGCAATATTATGGTTAAAGCTCTGAAAAATATTTCTCATCAGAAGTCTGCTCTCCAGACAAAACAGCCAAAAGTTGGCTGGATAAGAAGCACAAACACCTTCTGTTAAGAGCAGGTCTTAACCTTGGCATGCTGTAGAGTTGGCACATAGATTCATTAGGCAGAAAGAAAATCTACAGGTGGGGAGACAGAGGTGATCTCAAACATCAGAAAATTTGTGAATAAAAATAATGCCAAAGATCTACACTACAAGGATGTGTAATTATACTACTTTCCAGATTATTTAAACATTCTGTTGAAATACAGTATACATACCAAGCAAATGCACATGATGTATAGATAAATGAGTTTTTGACCTCTGAGCTCACTCATAACCAACACACAAATTAAGAGCAAAATATTACTAGTATCCCAAGAGTCCTCAGTATTCCCTCCTCTCCACCTCTCTCTCTTTTTTTAACATGGGAAAAGAAGAGTACATTGTCACTTAAATGGTATGATTCAGTACAGCAATATTTATGACTAAATACCAAATGATATGACATCCACACAATTTTTATACTCTCTATATATTAACTTCCACAAATAAGAGAAAATGTGCTATTTATCTTTCTGGGTCTGGCTTATTTCACTTAGCATAATGATCTCTAGCTATCCCACTCCTGGGAATATATCCAAAGGAAATGAAATCAGCATGTGAAAAAGATACTTGCACTCCTGTATTGATAGCAGCTCCAATACACAATAGCAAAAATGTGGAATCATTCTAGATGTCCATTAACTGATGACTAGACAAAGAAAATGTAGCATATATTCATGATGGATTATTATTCAGCCATAAAACATGAAATCCTGACATTTGCAACAAAATAGATGCAGCTGGAGAACATGTTTTTAAATCACTCATTTACACAAAATGTATTCCATATTTTGAAAATCTCTTAAGGTATAAAAGTAATCATTCTTCAAAACTTCTCTAGAAACAAACATTCAGCTTAAATAGTTTGTCATCTTACCTGTGTAAAAAGTATAAACTGAGCAAACTGCCAGGGAAGCATGAAAGCGATGTTGGAAAGGCAGAGAGCGATGTGCTGGCTTCTATGGTTGCTTGAGGTCGAGGTCCTTTCCAGAGAGAATTGAACCAATAAGTTTTATGACAAGAAAAGCCTACCACTGAAATGGGAGACTAACTGCAAAAATGGTAAACACCTAAAACAACCCCCTCCCCTTTCATATAACACAACAAATATAGTTGATTAGAAAAAACTCAAGATGCTTGGACCACAGGAATCCATAGCAGGAGCCAGCATTGTGGTATAGTGAGTCAAGCCTGTGATACCTGCATCCCATATGAGTGCTCATTTGAGTCCTGGCTGCTTCACTTCCCATCCGGCTCCCTGCTAATGCACCTGGGAAAGCAGCGGAAGATGGCCAAGGCATTTGGGCCCCTACCACACACTGGTAGACCTGGATGGAGTCCAGGCCCCTGGCTTTGGCCTGGCACAGCCCTGGCTGTTGCAGACATTTGAGGAGTGAACTAGCAGATGGAAGATCTCTCTGTCATTCTACCTTTCAAATAAGATTAAACAAAGAATCTCTAGCAAAAAAAAAAATAAAGAAAATAAAATAAAGAAAAAAAACACTAGAGTTTTAAAAACAACATTGTAGTTTATTAAATAAAATATTAATATAGAAGTCCATTTTCCTCAAAATATGCATGAAAATAGAAATTTAATACTGTACCAAGAAGGTCAGAAAACAGAAAGTGATGCTAGCCTCTCATGAATACTACATTCTGCTTATCTTGAATGTATGTTTGGCTACAGCTTTCTTTTTCAGATTTATTTTATTCATTTGAAAGACAGAGTTACAGAGAGAGAGAGGTCTTCCATCCACTGGTTCACTCTCCAATTGGCCACAACGGCCGGAGCTGTGCTGATTTGAAGCCAGGAGCCAGGAGCTTCTTCCTGGTCTCCTACATGGGTGCAGGGACCCAAGGACTTGGGCCATCTTCTACTGCTTTCCTAGGCCATAGCAGAGAGCTGGATTGGAAGAGGAGCAGCTGGGATGCCAGCGCTGCAGGCGGAGGATTAACCTACTGCACCACAGCACCAGCCCCAGCTACAGCTTTCTACAAGATACAACTATGGAAAAAATTGAGGGAAAGAATGTGATACAACAAATTGAAATATAACCCTGGAACAAAGCTGAACTATTTTATGCTGAAATTTTAATGTCCATTATGCAATACCAGAGAATTTTCTAATCAAGACATTTCATTCCATGAAATCCCTGTTTGGCCAGAATATTATCAATTCAAAACATTTTAAAAAATGAAAAATAACTTACTTTCCTAAAAATTTAACTGAGGAGTGAGGGCAAAGGAACAGCAGCCTCCCTCACCATGATCTTTGAGAGGTGGCAACATGTAAAGGCAAGAAGTCTAGGGAGGGAGCAGATTTCCAAATCCAAATTCTACCTCCAAATATACTTGCTGGACAGACAGTAAGACCCTTCTCGAGGTCGTAGCCACCCCTCGTATACCACTGTTTACCTCCATTCACATCCAGCACATGAACGCCTTGGTCAAAGAGATGAATGCTGCATGGTCCCTATTTCCGCCAGTGCTTTTAAATACACAAAAGCACGAACCTAGACATTTGTGTGAGTGTATGTATGGCTCACAAATTTAGCTTCAAGAAAGAATAAATACACACAAATGATTTTATATAAAGTATAATCCATCACAAATTAGTAAGTGAATTAAGGCTTGGAGTGATCATTATCTCATTCAGAGAGACATCTCATTTAGTGTCTCTGAAATTTGTTTCTATGATAAAGTTTATGCAATTCTACCGAATTGTTTTTGTTGTTTCTTGAGTCTCTCAAATTTCTGAAATGCTTATAAACTTAATTCCAACAAAAATTAAGAAATACAGCTCAGATGAAATAGGCTGAGCTGCTAGAAATACAAGGTTTTTAGAAAAGTCTCATAAATATATAAATATAGTTAACCCTTAACTATTAACCCAGTATTTCCCAAGTTCATCTGCACACAGGGTATGTTTCTCACAGAGCACATGTTAAAGTTCTATCAAAACTACAGACTGGAAAACAATGAGAGTACATAACCTTTGAAGAAAAAAAGAAACTATCTAAAAAATCTTCCAATCTTTCTAAACCATATATGAACATGTATATTTTGATCTGTTAAAACATAATGTAGCTATATAAAGCTTGTAGCCCAGAGTTTTAAATGTAAAGCAACTTTTACACAGTAATTTTAGATTATTGTCTTAACTCTTAACTCCATTTTTAAAATAATTTTTAGGGGCCAGTGTTGTGGTGTAGCAGGTTAAGCAGGTATCCCATATGGGTGCCAGATCAAGACCCAGCTGCTCCACTTCTAATCCAGTTCCCTGCTAATGCGCCTGGGAAAACAGAGGAAAAGAACCCAAGTGTTTGGGCCCCTGCAACCACATGGGAGACCTGGAAGAAGGTCTGAGCTCCTAGCTTCAGCCTGGCCCAGCCCCAACCACTGGGGCCATTTGGAGATTGAACCAGCAGATGGAAGATCGATTGATCAATCTCTCTCTCTCTCTCTCTCCCTCCTCCTCTCTGTAACTCTGCTTTTCAAACAATTAACAAATAAATCTTAAAATAACTTTTAAAAGAAAGCATTTGGTAATTAGTAGGTTGAAGCATATTTAACAAACGTAAATACATTGCAAAAATATTCAATTTTGGGGCTGGCACTGTGGCACAGTAGGTTAATCCTCTGCCTATACTGCCGGCATCCCATATGGGAGCCGGTTCTAGTCCCGACTGCTCCTCTTCTGATCCAGCTCTCTGTTGTGGCCTGGCAAAGCAGTGGGAGATGGCCCAAGCCCTTAGGCCCCTGCACTCACATGGGAGATCCAGGAGAAGCACCTGGCTCCTGGCTCCTCACTTCAGATCGGTGCAGCTCTGGACATTGCAGCTATTTGGGGAGTGAACCAGTGGATGGAAGACCTTTCTCTGTGTCTCTCCTACTCACTGTCTGTAACTCTGCCTCTCAAATAAATAAATAATATCTTTAAAAAATATATTTAATGTTATTTTATAAATTTAAATTACCTGAGAATCATGGTTAAAATCCACATCTGAAGTACAAGGAATGGATATGAAAAACTCTCACGCAGAGGCGGCGTCCACATCACACGGGTAGCCTGAAATCAGTAAAATGCTCATTTCACATCCTGTTCCTTTACAACAAGTATTAAGGTCAAAACTAGGGGGAGTTTTAATATTTTTAATTTTAGACTTATTGGGCCCTATTTCGGGATGCCTGGCATAGCTTATCCGTTTTCAAAGTTTTCTTAATGCAAATGGCCATTAGATTGAGCACAATTAACTACCAAGGCTAGAGAGAAATGAAAGATATGAGAATCTTCAGAAAGTTCATAGAACAAAATGAATTAAAAGACAGGTTTGTTTTGATGCAAAAAAAGAGGCCTATTCATACATTTTTTTCATAATATACATTTTCCACGAACTTTTTGATGCTCTTCAGAAATCAGATCAAGCACAAGGAAATCCTAGGGCAAATAATATGATCTAGGGATTTTGAAAACTGACAAACCAGATCCATATTCCAGGCCAGCAGGTTTGGCCCTAGCATCCCAGAGTGATAGGATGTAAGCTCACCACAAAAATACCTAAATAAACATCACCTAGGACATAAACACTGAGAGAGTTTACCGTAAGTGGGTAAATAAATTATAAATAAAGATTGCCACTGGATTTGTGAGCTACACTTTTGAAAATAAATTTTACTAACAAAGTATTCAAGAATCACTAACTGATAATGTAATGAAAGTATTCACTAATTTTCATATAGACTTTAAAACTGTGTCTAACACATGGGTCCAAGTGTTGTGAAAGTTTCATTTCTGAAATTCTAGAAAGAATACAAACTGTTAGGATTTTATGAGTCCTAAAAGTTGTTGCTCCTCTTCCAAATCAAAATTGTAAATGTTGGAAGATAAATTATGAAATGCATAAGACAGACAACTCATACCACTAATTGGCATATTCAAAGACCCTCTATTTGTTAATATAAAGAGTATTAACACACATTTGTATATTAATATGTATTAATGTATTAATATACATTTGTGAATGAAAACTCATTTGTTTTCTTAAGTTAAAATAATAGTTTAAGGTATTTTATGTATAGTTGTAAAAATTAACCTAATACTGCTTCTCGGCCTTTCGGCTAAGATCAAGTGTAAAATTACCCTAATAACAGTGTCTTCCATCCTATAGAATTTGTGCCACAGTATTAGTTCTTGCTTCCAAAAGCTGGCAGTCGCATTCTTTTATCCTCTCATTTCACTGCCATGTTCTCAGATTCTAACAGAAATCTAGCACACAGTACATACTCAATATTGTATTGAATGAATCTAACGTGTTCTAAGTCAAGTCTATGAACTCGTTTTACGTAGAGCATGACCCCTTGGATGAAAGTTAAGTAAGTTAATTTCTATTTTGAATTGCGCATTCTCTACTACTGAAAAGGCAGCACCAGCACAGCGGCCGTGCCTTAACTGCAGGCACGCTGCCAGGCCCCAGCAGCCCTTCCATCCTAGCGAAGGGGCAGGTTTTTATTTTGCAGGATGAATGTGTTCCAGAAATCTGCTGTGTAACACTGTGTTAATCATACTGTATTATATACCTAAAAATCTGATAAGAGAGCAGATTTCACATTAAGTGCTCTTAGTCCAAAGTTTCAAAACTTCAATATATATTCAAAAACAAAGTTTTAGAGCCATATAGGTACAAAATGAGAAACACGGCTTCTTCACATAGTGAGTGTGGAAACCTGGATAAGTAATCTCAGCTCTCTAAATTCCAGCGTCATAACTTACATGGCTACCTTAGCACCCATCTCCAGAAAGTTTGTAGGACTGCACGAGATCATGTATATAAAGGTCTGAACTCAGCAAGCACAATACTTCCTTTTATTTTACAGAATACATATATGTAAATGTTCATTAAAAACCATGCAAGATATTTCATGCTTTAAATTCTAGTGCTTTAAGATTTTAAAGTAAAATATCAATATATGAGGTTTTAAAATGTTGCAGCCATAAAGTATGCATCTACATATTGTTCTGATTAATGTATTTCCTTGTTCCTTTACAGCCTCTTCTATTTTCTAAAAATTATCTTCTATATAACAAACCTCTCCATGGTTGAAAAAGTAGCACATTACTGTAATTAGACCTCCTAGCTGAGTCCCACTGTTAAAGAAAAAGTATACAATCATAATTCATGCAAAATGTGAGTTTTCCACAAAATTATCTCAGATTTTATAATCAGTTTTCCATATTTAAAACATATTAGTACTAAACTGTATATTAATAAAAATGTCAACAGTACCATCTAGTTCTGTAATCTTAAATGAACAAATATATATATGTGTACATATAAAATACCAATGATATTCAGATATCACTGGCAGTGTGTACATGGTATAATATGGGTTGTCTCATGATCACATGTCTGACTCGGCATCATGAAAGAGTACTGTACTGCATGTTTCTAGTCAAAGGAAAGATCACAACTGAAAATTCAAAGTATAGTTTCTATGGAATGTATGTCACTTTACAACATAGTACAATCAAAAATTATAGTTGAACCATCTGTACAGATCATAAGTCAGTAACCACCTGTTTTATGATTTATCATGTTTAAAATATTTCCTAAATAAAGTACATAGATGCAGACATGAGCTAACTTACCAAATGGGCTAGCATTTCAGTGTTTGTATCACATCCTTTGAATATTCTGAATTGCCCACATCTCCCTGCACACTCTTTTCATGTCCCACCTCCATCGTCACCACGTTCACAGCACCCTGTGGACAGATTCTTCATCTGGCTCATTCACCGCTGTACCCCCATATTCACAATGGGAAGACGCTCAGTATTACAGAAATGAGTTTAAAAAAAAAAAAAAAACAACCAAGCCGGCGCCGCGGCTCAATAGGCTAATCCTCCGCCTTGCGGTGCCGGCACACCGGGTTCTAGTCCCAGTTGGGGCGCTGGATTCTGTCCCGGTTGCCCCTCTTCCAGACCCGCTCTCTGCTGTGGCCAGGGAGTGCAGTGAAGGATGGCCCAAGTGCTTGGGCCCTGAACCCCATAGGAGACCAGGAGAAGCACCTGGCTCCTGCCTTCGGATCAGCGCGGTGCGCTGGCCACGGCAGCCATTGGAGGGTGAACCAACGGCAAAGGAAGACCTTTCTCTCTGTCTCTCTCTCACTGTCCACTCTGCTTGTCAAAATAAATAAATAAATAAATAAAACCACCAAGCAGAAGAAAGCTAATGAGAAATGATTTACCATTAGCAGATTTTAACTAAAGAAATTCAAAAGATGCACTTCAAAAAAGAAGAAACGAAATTGAAAGAAGGATGGTGTGAGAAGCTTGGTTACATCTACATATCCATTTTTTTCCAAAGAAACTTTTTTTTATTTTATTTTATTTTTTTTTTTTATTTTTTGACAGGCAGAGGGGACAGTGAGAGAGAGACAGAGAGGAAGGTCTTCCTTTTCCGTTGGTTCACCCTCCAATGGCTGCTGTGGCCGGCGCACCACGCTGATCCGAAGCAAGGAGCCAGGTGCTTCCCCTGGTCTCCTATGCGGGTGCAGAAACCTTTTATTTATTGAGTACAAGTTTCATAAGTACAACTTTAGGACTATAGCAATTCTTCCCACCATACCTGCCCTCCCATCCCCATTCTCACCCCACTTCCTCCTCCCTCTCCCATCATCAAGAGAGGATGATTCACTTTTCTCTGAAGGGAAGTGAGAACTTCACTTTGCTTATGGCCTTGTCTAAATATATATCCTTGTCTAAATATATTTTGATTGGAACCTAACAGTGTATTTGAAATTCTAGAACCATGTAACTAATTCAGATAGAACAACACCTCTTGGGTAGCCATTCCAAAGAAAAAATACTAATTTTAAAGAGTTTTAGTCATTGTTATGTAACATCCTATATTAAAAACTAAAAAGAATAACAAACTATTTTTAAAATTAGAACATTTTAGGCGTCCCAAGACAATTTCATGTAATCCTTTTTCCTTAAAACACTATAATAAATTTTGTATTTAATTCTTTATAGTATACAAAAAAGTACGTAAATGTTCTAGTTTGTAGAACAATCACAAAAGTGAACACAAAATGATCGCATCTTCAGTCCCCACTTGCCACTGGTCCCCTCCCCCCAGAAAGCCACTATCTTGATATGAGTCTGCAAATCTCACATATACAAACCACCATTTACCTTCAACTGCTTTTAAATTTTACAGAAAAGTGGAATTAAGCAGCTTTTTATTTTGTACTTGACTTCATTCATTCAAATTCTATTTGAAAGAATTCTTCACAGGGCGGTGCTATGGACAGAAGATTAAGCCTCTGCTTGTAGTGCCAGCCTCCCAGATAGGCACTAGTTTAAGTTCATTTCTGACCCAGCTCCCTGCTAATGTGGGAAAGCAGCAGAAAAGGCCCAAGTGCACAGACCCCTGCAACCACGTGGGAGACCCAGAAGCAATTCCTGGCTCCTGGTTTCAGATGGGTCCAGCCCTGGCTATTGAGGCCATTTGGGGAGTGAACCAGCAGATGGAAACCCACTCTCCCTCTCCTTCCTTCTTTCTCTTTATCTATGCCTTTCAAATAAATTTTTTAAAAAATTCCTTCACATTGATGTGTGTGTATTTGTGACATTTGCCCTCATTATTAAACAGATGGTTACTGACTTATGATCTGTACAGATGGTTCAACTATAATTTTTGATTGTACTAGGTTGTAAAGTGACATACATTCCATAGAAACTATACTTTGAATTTTCAGTTGTGATCTTTCCTTTGACTAGAAACATGCAGTACAGTACTCTTTCATGATGCCGAGTCAGACATGTGATCATGAGACAACCCATATTATACCATGTACACACTGCCAGTGATATCTGAATATTATTTATGTATCCCATGTCTATGAAAATGCTCATTTTTGTACATGAAATAGTCAACACTGTATAAAATATGCTTTTTGTTAGATGATTACTGCAAAAAACATCTGCTTGGTATTGTACCATGCTCATAAACCAAGACACATTCATATCTGTGAATGAACATTTTAGTTAGTTCCTGTTTGGAGCCATTATAAATAATGCTGCTAAATTCATACACATATTTCCCGGTATACATGTATAAAAACTTAAATAGGAATATATACCTTAAATTGGAGTTATTGCAATATAAGCTATCTACATGTTCAAATTCACTAGATAATGCACACTGATCTCCAAAATAGCTGTACTAATTAAATACGTCCACCTGTGGTTGGATGAAAATCTCTTTATCAGTCTATTAGATGTGAAATAGTATATCACCGTAGTTTGAATTTGTGTCTTCCTGGTAATAGTGATGGCTAACTTTACACACATTTATCTGCCATGGAGTTCTGAGAAATGTGTGTTAATATTTATCAACGTGAATCTATTAGGTTATCTGTTCCCTTTGTCTTTCCACCTGGTTATAAACTCCACTAGCATAAATATTGGGTTTTTTTATTCCTGGCACCTACAACAATGCTTCTGTTCACAAGAGGCATTTGAAAAAACATTTTTCAGTATTATGACAAAGTATAAATGGAATTTTCAGATCTTACATGGTTATGTTTTTCAAATATAATCTCCCAATTTCTAGCTAATTTTTTTATTCTATAGTATCTTGAGAGACTTGGGTCTTTTCATCACATTTATCAGCTTTTTTCTTCATGGTTGAACTTATTATATCTTAAGAAAGTCTTTCATATTCCAAGTTACTGATGATATTATCCTATATCATAAGCTAATCATTTTATAATTTTGTTTTCAGTAGTTTAGCTTTAATCTACTAGTTCCAATTTGTCTTTGTTCCACATAATCTCTCAATTATTTGTGCTATGAACTGAGGAACCTATCCATTGATCTACAAAATCTACTGTCATACATTAATCTTTATATGCACATTTCTACTTCTGGGCTCTTCTCTTTCTAGTGATCTATTTGTTGGTCCCAGTAGCAACAGTAAACTGTCTTGCTGACATGAGCTTTACAACAGAGCAACAATTACTACAGCAAGTCCTCTTACCTTTTTCAAGAATGTCTCAATTACATCTGGTACTTTGTATTTCTGAATAACTATAATATCAGTTTATAAACTCCAACAAAAATATATTGGGTTTCGATTAGTACAGCATAGAATCTATAAATAGATTTAGTGATAAACTATCATTTTGTAAAAATCAGGTGTTTCAATTCAAGAACATGATTTTTAATTTTTTTAGATTTTCTCAAATGCATTTCAATAAGGTTTAACAATAACAGAAGTCATGTATTCTTTTCGTTAGATTAATTCTTAGAAACTTCATGCTTTTAATGCTAGTCTACATAGCATCCTTTTTTTTTTTTTAAGATTTATCTATCTATTCGAAAGTCAGAATTACACAGAGAGAGGAGAGGCAGAGAGAGAGAGAGAGGGGTCCTCCATCTGGTGGCTCACTCCCCAGATGGCCGCAATGGCCGGAGCTGCGCCGATCCGGAGCTTCCCCTGGGTCTTCCATGCAGGTGCAGGGGCCCAAGGACTTGGGTCACTGCCCACTGCTATCCCAGGCCACAGCAGAGAGCTGGATTGGAAGAGGAGCAGCCGAGACTAGAACTGGTGCCCACACAGGATGCTGGCGCTTCAGGCCAGGGCATTAACCTGCTGTACCACAGCACCAGCCCCCATAGCATCCTTTTAAAATTTCATTTTCTGTTTGATACTAGGGTATAGAATTTATAATTTTCATGTATTAATTTTTACAACCAGTAATAAGATAAATTTTGTATTATTTCAAAACTTTTATTGATCATTTTTACATACACAATGCAATATTTTAAAAACATTCACTTTTCCCCAAATTTTTTTATCCTATTTATTTCTAGTTTTTAATTTACTGTGCTTGACAGCATCCCTACTCCAGTGCTAAATATTTCTTTAGTTTTCACTGATTCTATGTTAATCTTCCAATACTGAAAACTCCCTAAAAAAATATATATATATCACACACAAAATGAAAACTCAATAAATACTTGTTGAAAAATTAAATCTATGTTTTAAACTTTAAATACCATGCAGTTAAAGAATTATGCTGAAGGGGCCACAGCTGTGGCATAGTGGGTTAAGTCGCCACCTGCAGTGCTGGCATCCCATATGGGTGCTGGTTCAAGACCTGGCTGCTCCACTTCCGATCCAGCTCTCTATGGTCTTGGAAAGCAACAGAAGATGGCCCAAGTCCTTGGACCCCTGCACCTGCATGGGAAGACCTGGAAGAAGCTCCTGGCTCCTGGCTTTGGACTGGTGTAGCTCTAGCCATTGCAACCAACTAGGGAGTGAATCAGCAGATGGAAGACCTCTCTCTCTGCCTCTTCTTTATGTAACTATGACTTTCAAATAAATAAATATATCTTTTTTTAGAAAAGAATTATGCTGAAATAAACAAAGTTGATGATTCAGATAGGAAAGAAAGGGAAAAAAAAAACTGACAAAAGCAGCTTAAATGATATGGATGTTTAACATTCAAGAAATCCTCCACCTGTGGCGCCGGCATCCCATATAGGCGCTGGGTTCTAGTCCTGGTTGCTCCTCTTCAGTCCAGCTCTCTGCTGTGGCCCGGGAGGGCAGTGGGGGATGGCCAAAGTGCTCGGGCTCCTGTGCCCGCATGGGAGACCAGGAAGAAGCACCTGGCTCCTGGCTTCGGATTGGCAAAGCGCCGGCCTTGGCGGCCGTTTTGGGGGTGAACCAACGGAAGGAAGACCATTCACTCTGTCTCTCTCTCTCTGTCTAACTCTATCTGTTATATAAATAAATTAATTGATTAAAATTTAAAAAAAGAAAAAAATAGGTAAGTGTCTGCTGGCATAGGTTCAGCAACACAAGAATGTTAGGCCAGATAACTCCAGTACTTTGATTGTCCTTAGACAAATGCTACCAATCTGGGTATCACACCCTAGCAAAAATAAGGAAGAAACAGAGAAGTGGCAGCTGAATCTTTTTTTGTGAGAATGGCAAATGTTTGCCTAGGTGAAACCAAAGCTGACTTTGTTTTATTTCCCATTGGCAAAGTTAGCTCTTACAGCTATCCCAAGAAGAAATGAAGAGCAAGAGCCAAATACACAATTGCCATAAATCATTTAAATGTATTATCTCAGATGGGCACACTGCTACTCCAAAGTTGTGATACTGGTATCAAGAAAATTAGGCTAACAAACTGTCTCAAATGATATACAGCTTCTTTTACTGTTTTCTCAATTTCATATTTATAGAGAATAAAAGCAGACTATCCTACTAATGCCAACCAAGGATCCCTTCTGACATTTTAACAATCTTACACATGAACCAGAGGTATTTTCAATAAAAACCTCTGTTTAGAAGTCTTCATTTAAAAAAAAAAAAAAAACCCACAAGGATAAAAAGAAGGGCTTTACCACATTATCTCAGTGACATCTCCAGTTTCTGGTTGCATGACGTCAGTTAACCTTCTGAAAAATCAACTAAAGTTACAAATTTCCCTATTAATTAACATCATTTAACCAATACATATTAGCCAGTCTTTATAAACTCATTAAAAGATTTTTTAATTTGTTAGTCTTACCTCAAGTATGCACCATACAAGAAGAACAATCCCATCATTAGTCCATTTAAAATAAAAATTACAGCAACGTAAAAGCAAGCAGGATCTCCCAATCCTTTGAAAAGACACAGATTATTCAGTATTTAATATACATGACTATAAAGCAACTGGGCATAATAATTAACTCTGTGTTTTGTAATCAAGAGTTTATGAACTTGCTGAAAGCATTTACTTTCCACACTGCTCTCTTTATTGCCACCCCCATATGAGATATTGCTTAGTCACTTTTATATCTTACACTTTATAAAGGTTACTCAACACTTTCCCTCATGAAGTACTATAATACTGTAATGATTGTTGGAGCTTCATGTTAATTTAGGTGATACTGCTATCTGCAGATACTTACTGAATTCCCAGAGAAAAGTCACCACTTGTTTCTTTTCTGCGAGGCTCCAGAATGAGTAAGATAGAGTCCCTAACCTCAAGGAGCAGCTTTAGTTTACATGAAACGAGACAGCTATTTCTGTTCATTAGTATGCATGGTAAAATGGTAATACAAGTATTTAAGATTATTTGCTTGTGTGTAGCACTTACTATGTGCTTTATAATCATCATCTCACATAATTTTCAAAACAAATATATGAATTAGTTTATAAGAAAATACTTTTTTATGGTTGAAAAACAGAAGGTAGAAAACTTAAGTAACTTGCAAAAGTTATTTGGCTCTAATTGGTTTAAGCCAAGAGCTGAAATGTGGCCTTTCTGATTCCTTCTACGTCTCTGACAAACACATTCAATCTGTCCCAATAACTTCTTCTGTTTTATCTACCCCTCTTCAATACTGGACCAACTAATGTTCTTTTTTCTCAGGACACATATTCTCCAGAAGGAAATTCTTCCACTTCCATAGCTCCAATTACCTATATAAAGATGACTCCAAGTCTATACTCAGCCCAGAACTTTATTCTTTTTCCTTATGTACCCAGGTAGCCACTTTACATTTTCACATTGAGGTCTCTCAGGAACGCCAAACTCATACATACAGGTGAGATGCGGCATTTCAAACCTGCTGCTTTCCAAATGTGCTTACCTTTCAAAAGGACTCAGTGAAGTCAGAGACCAAGCACTGTTACAGGATTCTTCACCCTCCTTTTCCTTCCATTAACCAGTTACCAAGTCTTGTCCATTTCACTTCCAAAATCCCCTGTCTCCAATGCAGGCACTCCCCAGTTATCTTTCCTGCAACTGTCTGCAGAGAGTACAACAGCCTCCTACTTGGCCTCACTGACCACACTTCTGTCCTCACTGCTGTAAACCGTCAACAGCCCTCTTAGTGCCCGCTCCATGCAGCGGAGGCCCCCCGACTCACTGGGAACTTCACAAATATCTTATCTGTCTATGTGCAGGTTGGGTGTTCTATCCTCCTTTCAGACCGAGTCATTACAGAATCTCCATCTTCTCATCACATTTTCTTCACTCCTTTAATTTTCACCAAAAAAGCATCATTGCCCCCTCAAACGCCCTCTTCCCAGTGCTATTTTAAATGTTATGAAGATCAACTGAGAGCATCAGTGAGAATGTAAGGGAAACATAGCCTCAGTGTTTATAGTTAATACTATAGCTCGCTTTAGCTGAATGTTACTATAAACAAGCCCATAAAAATATATGTATAAAATATAGTAAATAATCATGTCATGGAGGTTTTGAAGAAATAGAAAAAATAGTCATGAAAATGTTATCCGAAGAGATGTGTGAGGCTTTCCACCAGGGTCTCAAGTAACAGCATCGTATTAGGAGTAGAAAAGGACTCAGTTGCAAACACAAATAGAAATAAACATTACATGTCCTGGAATCTGTCAGACGATCCCAGCATGGTTCTGTGACAAAGACACCAATGAAGATTTATAGAAAGTGACTGAGTAAAACTACATATGGACAGGGAGCATATAAAAAAAGCATTATTTCTAAATCAGTCTATGTCATATATCTGATTTGCAAATATGGATGCAGAACTAAATCAATAAATTGACTATTCCATATAGATATTGGACTGCTTAATATGAGTTTAATAAGGTTACCCCAAAAACGTTTTATTGCATCTCCTCTTCTGAAATGGAAAACTGAATTCTACTTGATTACCTTACACTGAGTTATATTAATACTTAAACTAATTCTAAATTTACACTCAAGCTAGTAAGTCCATAGTCTTCCAACTAAACTACCTTAAAACAAATACATTCAGTTCTAGGGTATCTCAAAGAAAAAAAATTAACCATTTTGCCACCCAATGTTTATGAAAACCCTAATGATTAACACAGCAGGATTTTAAGAGGACACATGCCTTCACAGCTTTGAACTTCATTAAGAGGTTCTATCCTGGTGACATTCCAGCAGGTCTTAGCTTCTAGCCCAAACAAATTCATTATTCCCATGAATGTGCGATACCAGAAAGCTAAGATTACCTACAAAAAGATAAAAACAAAAAGAGATAAGGGAAGAAAATATATTCTCTTCACAGTAACAATTTTACCAAAATGTCATTTTATCATGATCACCTTTGACATCATAAACTTTTAACAAGTTTATTTTTATTTACTGAATAGTCATTTTTAAAATTATATATTGGGGCAGGTATTTGGCCTAGCAATTAAGACGTTGTCTGGGATACCCACAGCCCATGTTGGACTACCAAGATTTAAAACCAGCACTGGCCCTGGTCCCTGGTCCCAGTTTCCTGCTAAGGGACACCTAAGGGCTGCTGTAGTTGATTCCAAGCTGCCCACATGGGACACTCGAATTTAGTTCCTGGCTCCTGGCTTCAAGTCTGGCCCAGAGTGAACCAGATGACAGGAGCATTCTCTCTCTCTCTCTCCCCCTCTCTCTGCCTCTCAAATAAACAAAATCAATATAAAATGTATTAAATATATAATACAAAGATGCCTCAAAAAGTTCATAGGAAGTAGAATTAAAGATAACCTTATTTTGGTGCAAAAAATTTTAAAATCTATGAATATTAAGGTCTTCCAAAAGTTCATGAAAATAGGGATCATGTAAAAACTATGCATGCATTTAATAATATTTTTACAGCAAAGTAAACTTTTTTAAAACATTGATTTATTTGAAAAGCAGAGAGACAGAAAGATAGCTTCTACCCACTGGTTGGTTCACTCCCCAAATGCTCACAATAGCCAGAAGTAGGCCAGGCTGAATCCAGGAAGCAAGAAGACCACTTCGGTCTCCCACATGGGTGGCAGGAACCCAAACACTTGAGCCACTATCTGCTGCTTCCCAGTTGCATTAGCAGGATGCTGAATCAGAGCCAGAGAGTAGCTGGGACTTAAACAGGTACTCTGATGTGGGATGTGGGCATTCCAGTTAGAAGCTTAGTCTGCTATGCCACAACATCAGCCCCTACACTTATCATTTAATTCATTTTCCCACGAACTTTCTGATATTCTTATACTTAACTCTAAGAATAAGTATACTATATGTTTAAAAAGCATATGTATTTATAGTGTACAAGTCACATACATATTATATATAATAAGCTCTAATATAAATAATAGTAACTATAAAATCAAATATAAACATATGAGAAAGTGATTAACAGAAAAATATGGACTTACAGAAATATTTCATAACATTTCATTTAGATCCCTGAATTTCTTTCTTTTTTAAAAAAATGTTGGCAAATACAGTTTTTTAAAAAATTATTTGAAAGGCAGAGTTACAGTGAGGACAGAGGGGAAGAGGGAGGGATAGATCTTCCATTTGCTGGATCATGCCCCTGACTGCTGCAATGGCCAGCACTGGGCCAGGTCGAAGCCAGGACCCAGGAGTTTCACCTCCAACATTGGTGGCAGGGACCCAAAAACTTGGGCCATCTGCCACTGCTTTTCCCAGGCTATTAGCAGGAAGCTGGGTCAGAAGTGGAGTAGCTGGGACAGGAACCAGTGCCCATATGGATTGCCAGCAGTGCAGGCTGCAGCTTTTCCCATTATGCCACATGCCACTCCCTGAATTTATTTCTTCATAAAATAAATCATTTTAAAAAGCTAGAATGGAATGCATAATAGATCCTGTGCCCAATAAAACCTTGAATGAGCAGATTTAATTAACAAATTCTTCCCAATGTATAATCCACTTCTTAAAATTCTAAGACTACCAAAAAAAACCCAAGATGTTCACAAGTGGGAAAGTTTCTTCAAAACAACTATTTATAAAAATAATGTGAATTTGGGCTGGTGCTGTGGCACAGCAGGTTACAGCCATGGCCTGCAGCACCAGCATCCCACATGGGCATTGTGTTCAAGTCCTGGCTGTTCCACTTCCGATCCAAATCCCTGCCTAAGCAAATGGGAGAGAAGCAGAGAATGGCCCAAGTCCTTGGGCCCCTACACCCATGTGGGACACCTGGAAGAAGCTCCTGGCTCCTGGCTTCCACCTGGCCTAGCCCTGGCTGTTGTAGCCATTTGGGGAGTGAACCAGTACATAGAAGATCAATTCTCTCTATCTCTTCTTCTCTCTCTCTGTATCTCTGTCTTTCAAACAAATAAACAAATCTTTTAAAAATAATGTGAAATCATTGGGAAAAATCATAAGGAATTGAAAAGAAAAACCTAAACTTAACCACTTTTAATATTTTGTTAATCATCCTTCCCCTCATCTCCCTAGGTACTTAAAATATGGAGCTAGAATTATTCAATATTATGTAATGAGATTCTATTATGGATGTTAATGTGGTATGTATCACTAAATAACATCATAAGCATCTTTTCACATTAAGAAAGTACAGATTAACCATTTTGTCACTCCACTTGAAAAAATTGATATTCTGCTAACATTTGTGTATACCAAGAGCTAGCACATCAAATACACTTGCTAAATCTAGAATCATCCCTGTGTCTGGGATGAGCAGGACACAGCAAGAAAAGCACGGTTCTGAAGCCAGAACTGAGCCAAATCCTGACTCTGCAAGTGATGGTCTCTGTGGCCCCCAGCAATCCGTGAGCCTCTGAAGCTCAATTACCTCATCTCCCCAGAGTTCAGTAAGAGCCCCTTGAAGAGAGAGGGGAGGTTAGCACTTGCACATAAAGCGCTCCCATACAATAAGCATTACATGCGTTACCTTTTTCAAAATATTGTTTTAAACTTGCATTTTAGCTTTAGATGATAAATTAACCTCCTTGTGAACACAAACAGTATGAGTATACAATTCAGCACTGTAATACTATACAGGGTTGACACAAATCTAGATCTTCTCAATTTTGTATCTATTTTTGTATCTATTCCTTGTGAAAGTAAGATTGAAGAGAACTCCTTGTTGCCTGTACTTTCAACTGAGCCAAGTTATTTATCCTAGGCAGGTCTGCACTGGGCAGCTGTTACTATCATAAATCACATACAAACCTTACAGACATCAAAGCAGAAATAGATACTGGGAACCTACAAATACTCGAGCCAATGGGTCAAACAAGAACTCTTATAAGAAAATGGAGGGGCCGGTGCTGTGGCGTAGCTGATAAAGCCACTGCCTGTGGTGCCTGCGGCATCCCATATGGGTGCCGGTTTGAATCCTGGCTGCTCCACTACTGATACAGCTCTCTGCTGTGGCCTGGGAAAGCAGTAGAAGATGGCCCAAGTCCTTGAGCCCCTGTACCCAAGTGGGAGACTCAGAAGAAGCTCCTGGCTCCTGGCTTTGGATCTACGCAGCTCCAGCTGTTGCAGCCAATTGGGGAGTGAACCAGCAGATGGAAGACCTCTCTCTGTGTCTCTCTCTGCCTCTCCTTCTCTCTCTGTGTAACTCTTTAAAATAATAAATAAATCTTAAAAAAAAAGAAAATGGAAAATACTTTGAACTGAATGAGAGTGAAAGAACAACATTTAAGTAACACAAACATCTGCTTTTGGGAAGATGGAGTACGTGTACTTTTCCATAAGAATAACTAAAAACCCTCTGACTTATGTATAATTCAAGCAGAAGAAGATTCTGGAGGGTGAAGATATGGTAGACAGGACCCAAATAACAACACAGTTCCAGGTTTCCTGGGCTTTCTCTTTCTTTTTGCTCCATTTTCTCAGATGGAATGGTAAAGAGGAAGGCGAAACAAACTTTAACAGCACTGCTGTGGTCTGAATGCATCCCCTCTGATGCAGGTTGAAACCTCATGGCAAATGTTGATGTTATTAATAGGTAGGGGCTTAAAGAGGTGCTTAGTCCATGGGGTCCAGCTGACATGTGTGACAAAAACACAAAAGCAATTCAGTGAAACGAAGACAGCATTTTCAACAAATAGTACTGGACCAACTGGACATCCACAGACAGAGAAACAAAAAGAACCTTGACCTAAAATTAACCCAAAATGGATTACAGAATTCCACGTAGAACACCAAACTCAAACACTTAGAAAAAATACAGGAAAAAAGTATTTAGCATCTACGGCTAGAACTTAAACAAAAGCATGATCTACCTGGTGGGGAGGGGTGGAATTTTACAAATTTGAGTTCATAAAATGTTGCACACAAAAGACCCTGCTTAAGAGATGAAAGGCAAACTACAGACTGGGAGGACATATCTGCAGAGCACATATCTGACAAAGAGCTAGTATCCAGAATATATAAAGAACACAATAAGATGCAACATTAAAGTAACAATCCACAAAGACAATGAACAAAAGACATGAAGATACAGTCCATGCAGAGTGTATACAGATGGCAAATAAGTACGAGAGATGCTCAATATCAGCAATCATCAGGGAGCTGCACACTGAAACCTCAGTGAGATGTCACTGCACACCCACAGAAATAATGGCATCACCAACTGCAGGTGAGGATGCGGAAAAACCTAATTTTGGTTGTGTTCGGGTTCTATCTATTGACTACCTTGTATGTGCCACAAAGAAATCAGCACAGCTTCATTCGTTCACAAATACTACACTGAATGAACCCTCATCCCAGCAAGATTTTGTGAAGAAATTCAAAAGCTGGCTCTTTTTATAGAAATGTGATCCTGAAAGGGAAAAACAGAGTTGGAGAAAAACCTTCTTTCAAGATTTACTATTAAGACAGCGCATTACTGGCATACATAGAGACATACATATGAACAGAATCCAGAAACTAATCCTTACCTAATTTTCAACAAACACGCCAAGGCAATTCAGTGGGGAAAAGATAGTTACCACAAAAGAGCACACAGAAATGCTCTGGCATTATAAAAATGTTTTATAACTAAGTTGCAGGAATGGCTATATAATTTCATACATTTGTCAAAACTCAAAGAACCGTGCACGAAAAATGAACACACTTTTATTACATGTAAGTTATACCCCAACAAAGCTGATTAAAGACAGAAAAAAGCCAGAGTGAAAGTATGTTCAGCATGTGTCATTAAGGATTACTATACAAAATATATTAATTATGCCAACAAACCAATGAAAAAAACTACCACCAAATAGGTGACAAGGATTTCTTCAGGATATTGATAGAACAAATCCAAGTCTCTATTACACACGAAAATATGCTCAACCCACAAATAAAGAGGAAAGCATAAATTAAAACAAGAAGCATATCATAGCGCTTAAAAGAGCAGGAATCCTAAGGCTGAATAATTCAAAACATAATAAGGACACGAGAGAAAGTGGATTCACCAACACAATTGTGTGGATTGCAGCATTTACTTCAGAAGCCATTGTCAACATCTGGTAAGCTGACAAAGCACGTGCTCTGTAACAAAGCAGTCCCACTTCCAGGTACGCAGCCTAGAAAAAATCTTGCACACAGAACGTACACAAAAGAATGTACATTCTAGAACTGTTTGTAATGGAAAATTGGAACTAATAAGCCATAAATAAGGAATGTGTACATCTTGGGATTCATACAATGGTTAAAATTAAAGATGTTTATGTGTACATATGTACACATACACAGAGTTCAAAAATGATGAGGAAAATTTATGATGACACATTTAGTACGAGAATATTTATGTGGAGTTCAAAAACAAAATACACAAACCATCCTTGACTTGGGTGAGACTGGATGAATATATACATCATATTTACATTAACAATAGTTGTGTGAAGGGGAAAGGAGCAAATTCTACTGAAAAGCAGAACAAAAGTGACTTTAACTATACTTACAATGTTGAAATTATTTAGAAACATCTACAGCAAAAATTATGAAATCTTAGCATTTCTTTCTTCTACAAGGTTGATCACAAACATTTGAATATTATTCTCTAAGTTTCTATAATTTAAAAAAATTCAAACTCGAAAGAATAATAATTTTTAAAGAGTAAAACGATGAAGTAACTTTAAACTAATCCTCTGGGTTTTGAAACTCAAAAGTAGTGTTTACCATGATGTCTAATTTAGCATTTATCTCAAGTACACAGATTGAGTTTATTAAATTCTTTGGCTGTTGTTTTCATTTCTAGATTCTGTAGACTACTATAACAACCACATTTTTTTAGCCTAAGCACTGGAAGATAGTCATGGATTTCTGGCTATGTGACTAAATAAATCTTGCTTTCTAAATGGAACTCCAAGGCCACTGGTCCACTCATCACTTTACCATGCTTTCCGGCATGTTTCAATCTCATAGACCATCCCAATTCAGAACACTTGTTGGCTCCCACTACTCTCTTCCACTCACCCTGTCATTACTTAAACATCAAGATTTATTTGCTGAGTTCCTGTGTATACACCTCCTGAGGTCTCAGTTCTACGAGAACTTCTGACACCCTTTCAAGGACCAATCAGTAAACCTGACTCCCTTCTTTCTTTGCACCATCATCATGCCTACTACTTTTTTTTTTTTTTTTTTTTTTTTTTTGACAGGTAGAGTGGACAGTGAGAGAGAGAGACAGAGAGAAAGGTCTTCCTTTGCTGTTGGTTCACCCTCCAATGGCCGCCGTGGCCGGCGCGCTGCGGCCGGTGCACCGCACTGATCCAATGGCAGGAGCCAGGTACTTATCCTGGTCTCCCATGGGGTGCAGGGCCCAAGCACTTGGGCCATCCTCCACTGCACTCCCTGGCCACAGCAGAGAGCTGGCCTGGAAGAGGGGCAACCGGGACAGAATCTGGCGCCCCGACCGGGACTAGAACCCGGTGTGCCGGCGCCGCAAGGCAGATGATTAGGCTAGTGAGCTGCGGCGCCGGCCCATGCCTAGTACTTTTATATAAGAAGAATCACTCTGCAAACAGTATTTGTCTCAAAACAGTACTCACCTCTGGGTAAAGGTGGAAGCGCTTCACTGTATTGATCACAAGGGGATATTCAGTAAGTCTATCATTCATAATCATCCACAGTCCTTCCAAAAAGGAAGGGGCTTCAATGATGGTCTTGAAGTAGGAATAATAAAGTCCCTTTTAAAAAAGGCACAGATTATAGTCAATATAAGTAAAACCTGAAAGTATTTTTATAACTCCTTTTAGAACACTATTTTTTTTTTCTTAACAGAAAGGAAAAGATAAGTAATAAAGACTTTCTAATTAATCCTTGGTATTGTATTCTTTGGCCAAAATAAACTCCACATGCATTTTCAAATATCACTCTTCTCTTCATTCAACTTTTCTGTAAGTTTAAACATTTTCTAACAAGAGTCAAAGGGAAGGTTAAATGTTTTAAGGAGTTTTTCTAATAGCTTTAAAATATATCCAATACATTTAAGTTTTACATCCATATTATGAGACACTTGGAGGTTGGCATTTGATGAGTTCTAGTGTCAACACGGAGGGCTTCCTGTCCCTGTACAACTGTGCATGCAGAAAATCGCTTTCTTTCCCCGTACTCTTCAGAACTAGCATACAATGGCCCAAGCCTCGTGAGTACAGCTCCCTGCTTCCAGCTTTCCACAGGGCTCTACACAAAATCGAAGCTAGACGGTGCCTGACTTCTGTGGCTCACAACTGCAGGGTACTGGAAAGGGTGTTATCTTGCAGTGTCATTCCAGCACAGAGAAGACAGTGCCATTAGACCTGCAAAGTGTTCTGTAGTGAAAATCAAGGAAACTTAAGAATCATGCTGCTTTCCTCAACCATTTTCTGCTTTTCCTTAAAGATCTAAAAGCAAATAAGAATCATTGTTTATAATACACTCTTCCAAAATAAAAAAAAAAACATTAAAAATAATTTTCAATTCTACTCCTTCCTGCCTCACCCAACTACTTTGTTTTTGGATAGATCAGGCAACACTAGTAGGTACTAAACTGAAGTTTAGCTGATGCCTGAAAGGCCATTTTCTCACAGTTCTGATAAGCAAAATATGAATTCATATAAGGACTTTCCTTTCTGCTTGGGAGAACAATAAGATAATTCAACAATGAAAGGATTATCTAACATGCAAAAAGCCCTAGTTTAGGGAAATGTTAAGTTTTTATTAATAACAGCTATTGTTTTTGTCCCAAGTACCATACTGTGTGCTCCCATTCACCATCTCATTTCATTGTCACTAATGCCCTGAGTTAGCATTATTTCTGCTTAACAAACAAGATTACTAGTCAGAGAGACGACTGACTAGTCTTCATACGACAAAGCACAGGGTTGCTGTCTGAATCCAGGGATCAGTCCGTCACCAAACCTACACCTGGCCATTGCCACACTCTGTATTTAGTAACAGTTTATATCCTTTTGGGGGAAATGATACCTTTAAAGTATTCAAATGCCATTCTTCAAAGTTTTACAGGGCAATAGAGAGAAAAATCAAAAAGGAGTAATTCAAGTGCCCTAGAACAGGTAAACTCATAAATGGAAAAGTAGAAACAGTGTCATTCACCAAAAATTTATTTCAGTTCTGAATAAATCTCTACCTTATAGTCTTAGTATTATTAGACCACAAATTAATTCTTTAGAAGAAAGAACTTAACCATTTCAGTGCGAAAAGTCATCTCTCGTTCCAAAGATGAGAGGTGAGAAAAATGACGGTCATTTTCAAAAAGAGTTACTAAATGTATCCTAGGGAAAAAATGAAAGACCATATTATAAAAAGTATAGCTTTCAAAACTAGTACTAAAATAACTAAGTTACAGATAAGCAAAATAAGGAGACCACTACAAGGAAAATCAATTTTTTAATATATATTAAGGTAATTTTAAAATCTGCTTAGTCATTTTTATATTTTTAGGTATTCACAACCAAGCACAGCACACATTTGAAATTCCTCAGTCACTGGTTCTTAAACTTAATTGTACATCCAAAATCCCTGGATCTCTCCACTCTTCCTCCCACCCTTGGGCTCTACATCAGAACAGAACAAAAGATTCTATTTATATTTGGGAAATACCTCTGTAAGTACTGAAAAGCACTCAGAATATAATTTTAAAGTTACTTCAGATTAAAGCAGTTTTTTGATAACTACACTATATTTTAAAGGGCCGAGTTTCATGGCAGCCCTACTTCTAACATCAAAACCCCCCTGTAGACTTGATGGTCACAGCAGCACTGTCCCAGCAGAACATGGAGCAGACCCTATACCGCCCAAGATTTAGGATCCCTGAGCTCAGGTAGAGATGGAAATACTCCAGAGGAAAAATATTAAAATTTTACCTACAATTTTTACAGATAGCTTGTTCAAAATAAGGTACGTACATCTGCACACTGAAAGGCTCAAAATCATTAAATCCTATGGGTGGCTGTTACTAAAACTTTACCTCTAAACTTACATGAGTAACAACACATAGTTACTATAAAATGGGAAGTGTTTTAGATGAAACCAACAGACAAAAACCACCAGAAAATCTAGATATATAAAGAAATACAGTGGTGAATTCTTTGGTAAAGCAAAAATATTTTAGTGTGTAACTCAATACTCCCCTAATGTATCTATTTAGTAAATGCTGCTTCACTATGAGGTTTATAAAATACAAGCTCAGGCACATTGGGAGGTTCTGTGCACACAGCTACAAGTTTTACTATATGCAAACAGTGATGGCAATTTTTACTACAACTGTCTATTTCAAACTGAAAGTAAATCTTACCAGTGTAGAAGTCCCACAAAGGCAGCTGGAAAAAAATTTTTAAAAAAGTCATTAAAACCTGCTTTACTATAAAATACCTTTAAAACAAGTACTTCAAATGCAGTTGCTTAGAGAGCGCACACAAAGCAGGAGGCCTGGAAAACAGCAGCAGGGCAAGTTATGAACTGTGCTGACCTCTGCTGGGGCCACTGGACATTTATGCAAAGGCTGGAAAGGTTTATGCATCCCACTAGGTAACGTGTAAAAGGATCAAATTATGGGTGACTCTGCCCTTTCCATGATTCTTCAATGTCTTCTTCTCTCGTCTCCTTCTCTATTCCTTTACACAAGATTTTTTAAAGAAGTGAATATGCTATGCTCAGCTAGATTCTTTCAGAAAAAGACTAGCCAACATCAGCTACCCGAGACCACTTTCCCTCTGCTCATGGAAGACCCATTAAATGCAGGAGATCATTTCCTGGGCGGCACGTGTTGAGAGCCCCATTGTGCAGCTCAAACCTTGATGAACTGGCAGCTCTCTGCCCTAGATGGCCCAGAACACTCCCACCATGAGGCTGTGCTAGGGAGACAAGGCACAGGGCTTTCCAAGAAGCTGCAAACCCAGCCTGTCCCCTCTGGCAGCTGGCAGCTGGCAGCTGCTTGATTTCAAGGGTAGCATGGAGACGGGAACAGGGAGGAACAAGTTGAAGTGCCACAAATCCCACTGTTCTTACAGTGGTTCAGCAGTTGTTCTTGAATTAATACTTTTTTTAAATAAGGATTTATTTATTTATTTGAAAGAGTTACAGAGAGAGAGAGAGAGAGCGTGCTCCAGAGTCAGAGCCAGAAAGAGAGAGCCAGAGAGAGAGAGAGAGAGAATATGAACCTTCCATCTGATGGTTCACTCCCCAATTGGCCGCAAAGGCCGGAGCTTGCCAATCCGAAGCCAGGAACCAGGGGCCTCCTCCAGGTCTCCCACATGGGTGCAAGGGCCCAAGGACTTGGGCCATCTTCTACTGCTTTTCCAGGCCACAGCAGAGAGCTGGATCAGAAGAGGAGCAGCCAAGACTTGAACCAGCGCGCATATGGGATGCCGACACTGCAGGCAGCAATTCAACCTGCTACGCCACAGCGCCAGCCCCTTGAATTAATACTCTAGATTGTTGTGAACCTACGTTTAATTTCCAGAGTTATAGGGCTAGCACCACGGCATAGCCGGTTAAGCCACAGTCTGCAGTTCCAGCATCCCATATGGGAGCCGGTTTGAGTCCTAGCTGCTCCACTTCTAATTCAGCTCTGGGCTAATGTGCCTGCACCCACATTAAGAGACTCAGAAGAAGCTCCGGAAGCTCCCGGATTCTGCCTTTAGCCTGGCCCAGACCCCGCAGTTGCAGCCATTTGGGGAGTGAATCAGTGGATGGAAGATCTCTGTGTGTATCTGTCTCTCTTTCTCTGTGACTCTGACTTTCAAATCAATAAATATATGCTTTTTAAAGTTTTATTTATCTACTTGATAGTCATAGTTACAGATAGAGAGAGGGAGCGGTAGAGAGAGAGGACTTCCATCCATTGGTTCACTCCCCAAATAGTGGCAACAGCCGGAGCTGGGCCAATCCAAAGCCGGGAACCAGGAGCTTCTTCTAGGTCTCCCACACGGATGCAGGGGCCCAAGCACCTGGGCCATCTTCTACTTTTTTTCCAGGCCATATTAGGGATCTGGATCAGAAGTGGAACAGCTGGAACTTGAACTGGTGCCCATATGGGATGTTTGCACCGCAGGTGGAGGCTTAATCTACTATACCACTGCGCCTGCCCCATAAATATATCCTTTAAAAAAATAATTTTCAAAGTTATGAAAAGTCAATTTTCATAATTTTCCAAGTATTTACACTATCATTCGGAGGAGTGAATTTGCTGGGTTATTCCAGAAGTCCTTCTGCCCCTCCAAGATTTTATAATGGTATGCATATGGTTTTCCCCAAATACTTGGCAAATTATCTTACAAAACTACCAATATTAACCCCCTAAAAAGTTTAGTTAGCCTAGTTGGCTAACAAAATAAATACAAATTAATTCAATAAAGAAGTTTAAAAATTGAATCATGCTTCTCTTGCTCTTTTTCCTAAATGATTAACCACTTTTCTTTAAACCAGGATGGGCAAGTTATTGCCTATGGCTTGTTTCTATATTATCTGCAAGGTAAAAATGGCCCACATTTTAAAAGTTATAAAAGTTATAAAAGACAAAAAGTTATAAAAGACAAAAAGATAAAGATGAAAATGCAACAGACACTGCATGCAGCCTGACAATCTGAAAATATTTACTCCCAGGCTCTTTACAGAAAAATATGCATATTCACTATATATATAAATTATTTCTATCGATTACACTCTGAACCACTCAAATGAAACTTTATACCTTCAGGGGGCAGTGCTGTGGTACAGCAGGTAAAGCTGCTGCCTGCAGTGCCAACATCCCATATGGGCGCCAGTTCAAGTCCTGGCTGCTTCATTTCCGATCCAGCTCTCTGTTCTGGCCTGGGAAAGCAGTAGAAGATGGCCCAAGACTTTGAGTCCCTGCAACCACATGGGAGACCCAGAAGAAGCTCCTGGCTCCTGGCTTTGGATTGGCCCAGCTCCAGGCAATTTGGGTAGTGAAACAGTGGGTGAAGATCTCTTTCTCTCACCCCTCCTCCTCCCTTTTTCCCTCTCACTGCCTCAGCCTTCTGTAACTCTGCCTTTCAAATAAATAAATAAGTCTTATTAAAAAAAAAACTTCATACCTTCACTTTCAACATGAACAGCTGCCATCTAACAATCATCAGTCATGTTAGGAGATACAGGGACTGTCCTATTTAACTAAACTTGTACCCCCCTATTCTCCTGACAAGTTATATATACTGGCACAAACACTTAGAAATTATACTTAAGGAAAGGATCAAATATGCTGTCAAATACATCGACCTTTCCAACAATCCCGCCCCCCACATTTTTGGGTCTCTGGAAAACGGCAGCATCGCAGTGCCAATACTCCAGACGCACAGAGTGCTCACCCGCAGCCCTTTACGTTGTGAGGACAACTGCATGCTCCCTCCACCTCCCCTAGAATGTGAACCAGCTCGCACTTCACTAGAACAAAGACCACTGGATGCCAGCGCTCCCAATTTCCAGTTTCTGCACATCAATGCTTTTCTAAATACTTCCCAATATTTTAAGTCTTTTCTATTCTCTATCATCTCACAAGAGAAATCATCTCTCCCCCTTCCACAGTCAGCATCTCAGATTTGTGCCTTTAATTCCATCCTTCTCAAATAACTTAAGACTGTGCTCTCCCTTCTCTTACAGCCTTTCACACTCCAAGATCTTCCCTTTAGATTTTCATTTTCGACCTCGAAACACTTCCTGTGGTCTAACAACCCTTCAAACTGTGAGCCATCACCCCTTCCCATTCAATGACAAGATTTTTGACCACCTCTAATTTCCTGTAAGACTTTAAGTGACCAATGACCTTTCGGTTACCACAATCAAATGGCCTCCTTCATTGTTACAGTTTTCCGACTGTTCTACCTGCATTAGACCAGATTCTTACATTTTTTCTCCTCCCTCATTTTCCATCACACCAACTCTCCCTGTTCCTTAATTTTCTCACCACTCATTTTGTATGCTTAGCTTGCTTTTTCCTTTTCTTCTCATCAACTACATTTAAAAAGTTTTCCCCAGGTGCTTTCTCCCTCACCTGCCCCCAACTGTGTCTCCACCTACCCAGTCCTATCAATCTCAGTCAACTCTCACTTTCAACCTCTCCACTCCTATTGTTGCTACCCTTACCAAGGCCATTATTGGCTGGATTTTAGTGACTGTTTTCCACCTGTTCTTTCCGCTCTCTTTCTGAGTCCATTTCCAGCCCCTTTTATACACTACTGTAGAACTAATCATTTTGAAGCACACTTCTAATTAGGTCACTCTAGAGCCAACAGTGCAAACATACTAAATGCCACTGATTTGTTCACTTTAAAACGGTCAATATAAACACAAATGTATTTTTTGGAAACGCGAAAAGAATGACAGACACGAAGACACAAAGACAGTGCTCCTGCTGACTGGTTCTCTTCCAAATGCCTGCCACAGCAGGGCTGAGCCAAAGCTGGGAGCCAGGAACTCAATTCAGGTCTCCTCTCCGTGCGGGTGGAAGAAACCCAATTACCTGAGCCATCACTGCCTGTCTCCTAGTTATGTGATTTCATCACATTTAAAGGCAATCAGTGCCTTCCCATGGAATGAAGTTCAAATGCCTTATACCTGGGCTTCAATCAGCCTGTCCGCGGCTGGTCCAGGCCAATCTTTTCAACTCACTTCCTACTTCCTTTTCTTCTTGTTCCCTTCCTTTCAGCCTAAATTTGCGTTCATGTTCTTCTTTCGTCCACGCGGTTCTAGCAGCCTCTAACACCTGCTGTTCTCAGTGCCACACATCTGAATATCAGCCTCTGGTCACCACCGGAATCCCGCCTGTTCCTGAAAGTCTTCCCAGCCGTCCTTTCCCACTTTCCACCCTAAACGGTAAGTTCGCTTCTTCTGAACTTCCATGACAGGTGGTAGTCAGTCAGGTCACTCAGCACAGGCCTTCCAGGAGCCCGCCTCCGCACAGGGCAGCTTGTATTCGGGAGCCTGGCGTCCAGACTACGTTGGTTCCCGCGGTTTGATAAAACCTACACATGAACTTTCCTTAATCATCAAGTACTGACACCAGCTGTCCTCTTACAGTGGAAAAGAAATCACAATAATCTATTTACATTTACCCATGTTTCAATTTACATCTGTAGCCAGGCTGACCACGGACTGGGCTCAAAAATCAATTTTTTTGAGACAGCAACAACTTTTGAGTCACTTCTTAAACTACGGAAGACAAGGGAAGTAAACAGAGAAGAAAAACCCTTCAAGTCCTTAAACAAGAAAATTCCCAAATTTTAGGCACTGGAACTCCACGGTAACATGGAAGTGGGTACCAACAGGGCAATAGCACAAGCGTACTTCAAAAAGTTCACGCAAAGCTTAACTAAAAGATATGTTTTTGGTGCAAAATACTTTTTGACAGCCAGAATTGTCTCATATCCCCTATGCATGGGTTTCAATTTTTTGTATCAAAAATAGATTCATCTTTTAATTCCACTGTCTACGGACTTTTTGAGTGTCTCTCGTGCGTTGTCTATTTTGACCCTGTTTCCATTAATAGCTATTTAAAAAAATTAAAAACTTCGTTTTTATTTAGGATGCGAAAAATCGCCATGTCTGGCCCACACGATTTAGCCAAGCGTTCTTACGAAGTCATCACTGGCTGCCCCGATTCAGGAAACTCTGCCGAACGACACGGGGATGACCACTGTGTCCCCAACCCCTGCCAAGGGAGAACCAAGGGTGCTGGGGACTCCCGGCGAGCCCGCAGCCGCGCACCCACGGGCGCTGGCTGGGTTGCAGGGTCTCCTTCAGGACTCGCGGAAAGCGCTGCCGACACCGCGGTCTGCGGGCCCCTGCGCCGCCGAGCCCAGCTCCGCTCACCTATGCTGAGGGTGGTCCTGTTCGAGAACCGACGCATCTGCAAGACGAGCACCTTTTCGCGGAGCAGCTCCAGGAAGCAGTTGAGGAACTGGAAGCGGCCAAGGAGAAGCGTCCTGGCGACCACCTCCAGCTGCAGGCAATTTTGCGCGTTCAGGTTTCGGGTCCTCCGCGGCGAGTACTCCCGGGAGCCCCCCGGCAGGTTCCCGCCGCCTACGGGCGGAGGCGGAGGAGGCTGCGAGGGCGGCTCGGGCTTTTCCACCGCCTTCGTCTTCCCCTCCTCCATCTCCGGCTCCCCGGCTCCCGTGGCCCGGCGCCGACGCCTCGACTGCACCGGGCGGGCTTGAGACGGCTCTGCAGCCGCTTCTCTGAGCTTATTCCTCGTTTGCCCCACCATTTTCTCATAGTCCCTGTGCGGGTGGAGCTGGGGCACTGTCCGGCGCGGGCCCAGCCGCGCCCGGCGAGGTCCGGAGCCTCAACGACTTGTCGGCGCCGCCGTTGCCGGAGGCCCGGTTGTCAAGGCGACAGCGAAACGCGGAGCGGGGCGTGCGATCCCAGCTGCCCGCGCGGCCGGCGCGAGCTGCCCGCGCGGCGCCCCACGGCGCAGCCTCCGCGCACAGCGCCGCGCGCGCCCGCCCCAGCGCCGCCGCCGCCGCAGCCGCGCAGTTTGGGGGCCGCGCGAGGAGACGTCTCTGTCTCATCATGCCTTTCCTCAAGTTCAGGTCGAACCCCTGCGACATTATCAAAAAGGTCATCAAACGAGGTTATGAACGTGGCCCAGCGGCTGAGGCCGGGGCACTGGATGACGCCCGTGTGCCCTGCGAGAACAGGGCTCAGGGAATCCGTCCATTCTCAAGCGAGTTGTTTCCTCAGAATTACTCGGCCCAGTGCTCTCAACGCCTTCCTGAGCCGGAGGCCACCGAAGACCAGCCAAGAGGGGGCGCTTGGTCCCGCAGTCCCCGCCCAGCGCCCTGGCGGCCGCTGTCGCAGCCGTGCCTTTGGGGTCCACACCACCCTTTTGGGCTAGGGTGGATTGTCCGCCCCTTCAGAACCGTGGCTCACGGCGGCCTGATTAATTTTCCCGGTGCATCACCACTCAGAGATTTCCGTAGCTCCCACAGCCCCGAGCAAGTGCAGTGCAGACTCCCTGGCTTGCTCATGAATGTAATGTAAGTTGCCCCCAGGCTACCTTTGCCACGTCGATTCCCACTTCCTTGCACAGAAACCTTCCTGTCCATCGCTCCAAGTGAGGTGCACGGTTAGATTTATTTGTATATTGTCATCATGTTATGCATTACCTCTATTATTGAACAGTAGTTTATGTGCTTGGTTCATTAGTTAACTGAGGACACTGTTGCCTAAATAATTTTGCATTCTTTCACTAAGGAGGGGAGATGTGTATATGACAGGGATGTCATGACACTTGGTTTTATTTACAGTTTAGTAAAATCATGAATATTTTTATCTTTTTATAACTTCTCCAGCCATGTTCACTTATCTTTGACCATATTATATTGAACACGCAGGTGATTATTTGAGCTACATTTTAGCTGCATGCTGATTAAGAACAATCACGTACGCTAGTGTTGCCTGATACTTATTTTAGGATAAATGAACAATTGACATAGCCATTTACAATTAGATATAATGCAATATATTCTTGTATTATCTTAATCTCTTTAATATGAAGATGCATGATTATTTAACAAATTGTTAGAGTTTCTAACCTAGTCATATATATTTAAAATTTGCTCATTCCCCCTTTTAAGTAAAACAATTCATAATTTTTAAACAAAAAATGCAGTTGAGCTACATAACCAGCAGATGGCAATAATGATCTGTAAAATAGAAATTTTTTTAATTTTTTAAATAATTGTTCTTGTAATAAACCAGTCTATAAATATGAAACAGGAAAAGTCTAAAAGTATCCCCACAGAAAATAAGTATACACATATTTCATATATAAAATATTTGAGGTATTCATCATTACCAATATCTAATTTCCCGAATAATGATTTGACTTTAATTAATTCAGATAATTTGTCTATAAAATGTAAATGATTTAACTTTGTAATAAATACACAGATATAAATTTTGGCAAGCGGCTAAGTCCCATCTTTTTTTAAAAAAAAATTTGTTTACTTACTTGAGAGACATAGTTACAAACAGAGTGGGGGAGTACAGAGAGAGAGGTACTTCCCCACAACCAATGCCCTCTTGTGCCTCTGTCAGATATGTTGACCACTGCTTTCTGTACAGTGGAGACTCTTGGCAGACTGGTTGCTCATCAGACCTACATAGGATGATTCAGGACAGGACAGCCCAGTGCTTAAGAATACAGATTCTGTGCCCACCTAGCCTGGGTTCAAATCTCAGCTCCTTTGCTTTCATGCTTATGTGATCTGGGGCAAGGCTTGCATTAATGGATATTATTGATACAAGAAAGACAAAAGGGAAATTTAAAAGTGCACACATTGTAAAGAAATCTGTGCTTTGTACCTCCACAACTGGCAAATTGTCATAAACACTTGTTTTAAGTTGAAACCATATTTTCAGGCATATGATATGATTTTTAATGTTTCCCTTACTTTAAGAGTTTGTATTCAATTAACAAATCCTGTTATCAATTTCATTTATTTTTTTCCCAAAGAAACCTTATACTTAATGAGTACAATTTGTAAGTACAACTTTAGGAATATAGTTATTCTTCCCACCATACCTGCCCTCCCACCTGCACTCCCCACCCCACCTCTGCCTCCCTCTTCCATTCCCAGTCCCATTCTCCATTATCATTCATTTTCTATTAACTTTATACATAAATGACCAACTCTATAGTAAGTAAAGATTTCAACAATGTGCACACACACACTGTTTGAGGACAAGTTTTAAAGTTAATTCTCATAATACAACTCATTGAGTAGAGAGGTCCTACATGGGAAATGAGTGCACTGTGACTCCTGTTGTTAATTTAACAATTAACACTCCTATGCATGATGTCAATGATCACCTGAAGCTCTAGACATGAGCTGCCAAGGCTATGGAAGTATTTTGAAACCACAATCTCCATCATTTAGACAAAGCCATAAGCAAAGTGAAAGTTCCCTCCTCCTACAGAGAAAAGTACATCCTTCTTTGATGGCCACTTCTTTCCACTGGGGTCTCACAGATATCCTTCATGTAGGTAATTTTTTTTCCAGTGTTATGGCTTCCCATGCCTGAAATGCTCTCATGTGCTTTTAAGCCAGACCAGAATGTCTTAAGTGCTGATTCTGAGGTCAGAGTGCTATTTAAACCAATTGTCATACTATGAGTCTGCTGTGTGGATGCTTCCCATGTTGGAATATTCTCTCCTTTTTAATTCTACCTATTATTATTACCAGGACACTTGATATTATTTATATGATTCCTTTAACACTTAATCATATCTATATGATCACTTTAACACTTAATATGGTCACTTTAACTCTTAAGATGACATTTTTTTACCACTCAGCTTAATGGGATTTGGGGCCCCATGGCAAGTTTTTTTTTGTTTTTTTGCTTTTTTGTTTTTTTTGACAGAGTGGACAGTGAGAGAGAGAGAGAGACAGAGAGAAAGGTCTTTCCTTTTGCCATTGGTTCACCCTCCAATGGCTGCCACAGCTGGCGCACTGCGGCCGGTGCACCACGCTGATCCGAAGCCAGGAGCCAGGTGCTTCTCCTGGTCTCCCATGGGGGTGCAGGGCCACAAGCACTGGGGCCATCCTCCACTGCCTTCCCGGGGCCACAGCAGAGAGCTGGCCTGGAAGAGGGGCAACCGGTGAAAGAATCCGGTGCCCCGACCGGGACTAGAACCTGGTGTGCTGGGCGCTGCTAGGTGGAGGATTAGCCTATTGAGCCACAGCGCCGGCCATGGCAAGTTTTTAAACTGTACCCTTAGAAGTAAGTTCTGTAGGAATGTATGCAAAACTATACAGCTTTATAGTTACAAACTTCCTTCTCCACTCTTATTTCCTCTCATTTTTTTACTGAGATATATTTTAAATTTACTTTATACACATATAACTAACTATGTTAAATAAAGACTTAAACAATAGTATGAAGAAAAAAAACCTGTTCTTAAACAGTCAAGACAAAAGTTGTTAAAGTCATTGCTTCTCAAAGTGTCAATTTTACTTCTACAGATTCCTTTTAGGTGTTCTATTAGTTATCACAGATCAGGGGAGAACATCTGATATTGGTCCCTTTGGAACTGGCTTATTTCACTAAGTATATTTTCTAGATCATCCATTTTGTTACAAATTAAGGAATTTCATTTTTTTGCTGCTGTATAGTATTCCATAGAGCAATATCCATAATTTTTTTTTTATCCAGTCTTTAGTTGATGGGGCATTTAAGTTGATTCCATGTCTTATCAATTGTGAATTGAGCTGCAATAAACATGGGGATGCAAATAATTCATTTGCTGATTTCATTTCCCTTGGGTAAATTCCAGGAGTAGGATGGCTGGGTCATATGGTAGATCTATAATTCAGATTCTGAGGCATCTCCAAACTGTCTTCCAGAGTGATTTTACCAGTTTACATTCCCACCAGCAATGGATTAGGGCTCCTTTTTCCCACATCCTCACCAGCATTTGTTGTTAGTTGGTTTCTGTTTGAAGTCATTCTAACTGGGGGGAGGTGAAACCTCATTGTGGTTTTGATTTGCATTTCCCTGATGGCTAGTGATCCTGAACATTTTTTCATGTGTCTGTTGGCCATTTGGATTCCTCTTTGAAAAATGTTTAAGTCCTTTGCCCATTTCTTAACTGGGTTGTTTGTTTTGTTATTATGGAATTTCTTGATCATTTTATATATTCTGGGTTTTTAATCATTTATCAGTTGCATAGTTTGCAAATAATTTCTGGTTGCCTCTTCACTTTCTGAGTGTTTCTTTTGCAGTACAGAAGCTTCTCGATTTCATGTATTCCCTGTTAACTTTGGCTTTAACTGCCTGTGCCCTCTCGGGCCTTTTCCAATAACTCCTTTGACTGTGCCTATATCCTTGCAGGGTTTCTCCAGGTGTTCTCTAATACTTTGATGGTGTCGGGTTGTAGATTTAGATCTTAATCCATGTTGAGTAGATTTTTGTGTAAGGTGTAAGGAAGGGGTCTTGCTTCATACTCTGCATGTGGAAATCCAGCTTTCCCAGCACCATTGTTGAATACACTGTCCTTGCTCCAGGAATTGATTTAGATCCTTGATCAAATATAAGTTTGGTTGTAGATATTTGGATTGCTTTCTGGTGTTTCTATTCTGTTCCATTAGTCTATCCCTCTGTTTCTGTACCAGTACCACGCTGTTTTGATTATAACTGACCTGTAGTATGTCTTGAAATCTGGTATTGTGATACCTCCGGCTTTGTTTCTGTTGTACAAGATTGCTTTAGCTATTCAAGGTCTCCTGTGTCTCCATATGAATTTCAGCATCATTTTTTCCAGATCTGAGAAAATGACTTTGGTATTTTGATTGGTATCGCATTGAATGTATAAATTGCTTTTGGAAGA